ACCTGATAGACTCAGTCCAGGCAGGTCCAGTCCCCTCCTCCCAGATTGAGCCAAGCGTCCCTGTATAAGTCCTAGGTTTCAAACAGCTATCTCATGGAGGCATTTTCTCAATTGAGGCTCCTTCCTCTCTGATGAATCTAGTTTGTGTCATGTTGACATGCAACTATGCAAACACATTAGGAAAACAACATGGAGACGCAAAAGCCAATATTGAAGCACATAGATGAGGTGAGGTTCCAGATAACATACATTCTGGTTTTGCTGACCACACTAAAACTTCAAGTTTGACCTGATACAGGACACTGGATCATTTGATCTGGCAAAGATCATGTCATAATGTAGGTTTTTAAATTTTATTTTGTTGTATACTACTGTTGGTGGGCGATCAATGGATAGGAATAAGTGCTAAGATGAGAAGAGAGGTCAGAAACTGTGATATGATAGTTAATTGTTAGGGAGATGAATTGTGTTTGCATAGGTAAAAATTAATTGTCAGAGAAATTCCTAATACTCTGTAACTATATAAAAATGATCTTTGAGTTTCACGTTACTTTGCACATTGTTGAAAGATTTTCAGTATATGTTTGGTATTAGCACATGGAGGATGGCAGTATAAAAGCTTTCATGCCAAAGATGGAGACTATGATTTGAAAGCCCTAGTTTAGGGTTATTGCTCTCAAAAGTGATATAAAAGCTAGATAAAGTCAAGTACAATCATTTAGACATACATAATCACCTGGATAAAAACTGGAAATGAGAGTAGAAAAGGTAATTATGGTGAACTTGATAGTTCAATGAGATAGTGCATGAACTTTTATTTAAAATCAGAAGAGGTAAACCTGGCATGATTGTCAATGCCTATCATCCTAGCACTTGGGATATGGAGACTGAAGGAGCTTGAAGATAGTCTTGGCTACATATCATTGTCAGCCTGTGTTGCATAAGACCCTGTTTTAATCTCACCCACACAAAGAAAATGAATTGATAACAGCCAGAATTTAGTATATTAAAGTTTAAAGCCCTGGGACAAATAGGGAATATTCTTAATAATACATACAATATTAAAAAATGTAAATATAAAATGATTTGAGGTGTGATTAAAAAGTGAATGGGAAGAAAAAAAGAAAGCATAGTATATACATTCAAGCCTTGGGATGAATTGAAAGGGACAGGGGAGTAGATCTAGTTAGTATGTAGAAAAGAAAATTTTATTTACAGTGATTCATTTTTTTGAGTAGAGAAGATTATGTTATTATTCAACTGGTATGATATATTTTTCTTTACTAAATTGTAGCTATTGCATTAAGGAAAACTAGATTAAATAAAGGGAGAGTGTCCTCCTGTGGGAGGAACTGAGATGCAATTAAAAATAGAGTGGTTCTATTGTATTTAGTGATGGGACATTGCGATTCCTAGTATAACAAGGGGGAGGAAAGGAAGGCGGTCAATATGCAGATTGTGTGTGTGTATAACATTTAGAATAAGTCTCCTTTCAACACTTTTCATTCTCCAATGCAACAAATCTGAAACTGTATTAAGGGACATATATATAATTAAGTTCTTGGCATGAGTATGTTAACCTGGGTTTGAGTACACTTAGGAATCTGGAAGATTCGTGTGACTGGGGGAATTATGAAGAAGAAAGCCATCACTGGAAGAGCCCCATGAAGGAAGGAGTACAAGAACCACAGATGTGAATAGACAAAACAGACACAAAGTGCTTCCCATCAGGAGTTCATCTGTTCTGACTTTCAGTACACCTCAATAGCTTTTGAAATTTTGATGATGTGAGATGTCAATTAATAATTTTGTGCTGTCTCCAGCCAAGCACCTTTGGTAACTAGTTAAAACAGCAATGTTTTAGCCTATTAATTATATAAATAGATATAAAAGTATTAGCAAAAGTAGATGTTAAGAGCATTTGATCATCTATTTTGATGAAGTAATGTTATATTGGCGACATCAAAAAACAAAAACATACAGATTGAGGAGGGAAACAGAGACCAACGTGGAATCTTTCTCAATGGCTAGGAAGAATAGATTTGAACATAAACCAAAAATTATTAAAGGGAGTCTCAACTTCAGAGCTTTTGAATTAAATGTTTATTCCTATTAACTCTCATCAGCCCAGAATTTGAAACTCTAGTATTTGGGGGGGGGGGTCATAAAAGTTTTCAATTATTTATATTTATTAAAATGTTTTAACTACTTAGATAATTATTTCCTGATTAAATACAAATCAATATCCCACTTCTACTTGAATGTTTATGAAAGAAGAGGTTATTTTCCTTATATAAAATGGAATGAATTGCAATCTTGGCTCCTCCTACAGTGAAATGAAGCTGTTTTGAATGCTGCTTGATACATTGATTGTAATTGTGTCTGTATGCATCACTTTATGGTTGAATAACTAACAATTTCTTCCGAGTTTAGTATTGTTACAGTTCTCAACAGAAATCGGCTTTTTTGAATTAATTCTGATTAAAATGAACATTTATTTATGAGGATATATGTGAATTTCCTTGATTCTCTGTCAAGAGAGGTAATTTTAAATTCATTTCACAATGACTTATTAGAATTAAATCATTTCAATTTATAAGTTATTTGTATAATTCATTAAATGTTTATTTGGTTTTAGGAAAGACAAATGATTTGAGGACAATTTATGGTTTTGAAGGGCATACACTTCATTATAAAGTGTACTGCAGCCTTTCTCTGCAATTCGATTCATTAAAATCAGCACTGTTCACTGAATTCTACAAAATGCCAGTTTTTAGAGAGATAGAGAACTCACTCTGTGACTCAGGACTGCCTTATACTCACTACACAGCCCAGACTAACCTTCAACTTTCAGACATCCTCCTGCCTCAGTCTCTCAATGCTGGTAGCACAGGCTTGACATTGTCTTTAGCCATGAATAAGATGAGGCCATGCACTAGTGTCATGCCAGAGAAGATGTTCAAAATCTGTTGCTATAGAATCTCTATGGACTTGGAGAAAACAATTTAGTCATTTTGATTATTTTTATATTATTTAAATTATCAGAGTTGTGATTGAGCATAGAACTTTTCTTGTTTTTATTTGAGTCAGTGTATATTCATATATCCCAGATAGTATTCCAGTTTACACCATCCTTGTCTTGGATTTTTGAGCACTGGGATTATCCATATATACCTCTGTATATAGTATAGAAATGTTCTGACTAGATAACATTTTGTTATATTGGCTTTATATTTAGAATAGTGTCTAAGAGTCTAAGTGTCTAAGATGTTATCAGGCTATATGTTTTCTTGCTACCCTATCCTCCTCTCCCTTTTGCACACTGAACTTTTGGCACCTAATTATTTACTACAACCTTACTATGTACAATGCCTCCTCAACTACATCTTTATGCTTATCTACCAATAGCCCTCAAGTAAAATACAATACTCAGTCTTAAGGTCCTAGGAAATGCAATTTCACATGCTAGTAGGACTACACTTTCTATACTACTAAGGCAATTCTAAACAGTAGATAATTTCTGATCCTAATGGAGAACTGAGATTTTCAGTTAATGTCCAATATAAATTGTTCCACTGCTCAATTTTTCAGGCAATACACTTTACCACATCATTTTTTTTAAATATTGTTTGTTGAAATATTTTTTTAATAATAAAGAAGTATCTAGATATCTTTTATTTTCTGGAGTGTTAGTTCATGGTCCAAAAATTGACTTATGTTTTTCACAGTACAGAATATCTATGTGCTGTTCATCAGCAATTGTCTGGGACTCAGAGGCATCAGCAACCTTGATACAACATTTAACTAGTAATGGCAGACCCCAGCCCTCCTTATCAATCTTTCTTCAATTTGCTTCCAGGTGTGAAACTACTCTATACTGCTCATTGAACCACAATTTTTAAATCTATTCTCCGTTCCCTGACTCTGCACTTTTCAAGAACATTGCGGGTCCTGATGTATTGCACCTGAGGAGATGTGTTTGAATCATCAACAATCACACACTGAGGGGCAGGGTTTCAGGTGATTTTGCTGTGGAAGTTGAAGCCAGTGGGCTGTGTTCAGTGGAGATACTCTTCAAAAGTGCATGCACCAATCACATATCTAGAAATGATAGTATATGCCACAGAATACCAGCTCTCCAGGAGAATGGCGGTGATGGAAAATTTTTGAAAACTTCAAATATAAAAGGTCAAATCTAGGTAACCTGAATCTTAAAGGAAGATGCTGTGTGGTTTGTGTTAATTTGATAAAAAGCTAAAAGCTCGACACTAGTTTAAATGACTCATTATAAACTTAGGCAATCAATAGACAAGATCATATTATGTACCCAAAATAAGAAAAGTTGGCTTGACACTGGTATACAATTCTACAGAATTTTAGTTTGCAGTATTTGGGGAGTTTCACATGGTCTCTATCTCTAACAGGGTTTTATATTAGAATTTGCGTTATGTTTCCCGAATACATGTTCATAATTACTTTTTAATATCCTTGTCCTTGTCTTTTTGTGTGCACCCAGTAGCTTGATACAAACACATACAGCACAGAAGAAACGTTGCATACATAAGGCTGCTTTTATTTCCATGCCTTGTTATAAAGCCACAGTTAAAACTAGCAACTTTCATTTACTTCTTTCCTATATATTAATCTATATTATTGTTAGGCTCTTTTGTTTTTGGCTGTTCTGAGTTAAATATACAAGTGCATCCTGGGGTATGACTCAGACCTTCATTTAGAAATAATTATAAAACTCATTTTAGACTAGTTTCCTAAAATTCTTTTTTACTTTTATGACTCAGGGACAATAATATGAGGCTGAGAAACAACACCGGTTATAGCAATGTCTTCAACATCATTCCCATAAGGTAGAAGACTTTGATGAGAAACACTGCTTTTTCAATCTAAACCCTACTGCTATTTTCCCCCTATTGGTACCAAAAGCAGCAAACATCACCCCATTAGTTAAAATGAATCATGACTGAGGATTCAAGAAACAGAAATGGGTGCTTGCTATGGCAGCTCATATACTAAAATTGGAACTATACAGAAATGATTAGAACAGCTCCTGTGCAAAGACTGAATGATAATTCATAAATCATTCCATATTTTGAACTCCCCAAAATAGAAGAAATAAATAACATAGTTCAAGACCTGCAAGCAAAAACAAAATCAACAAAGAAGAAACCAAACCGAGTGAAATCTGGAAATGGAAAATTAAGGAACTCAAACAGGAATTTCAAAGGTAAGTATCCCCAACAGAACAGAATAGAAGAAGAAAGAGTCTCAGGCAATAAAGACATGACAGAAGAAGTGTATTCATTGATCAGAAAGAATGCTAATTCTTAAAATATCTTGGCACAAAGAATCCATAAAATTTGGGATGGTATGAAAAGACCATGTCTAAGATCAATAGGATTAGAGGAAAGAGAATAAACATAAGTCAAAGGCACAGAGAATATTTTCAACAAAATCAAAGAAAATTTTCTTAGCCTGAAGAAGATGCTTATAAAAGCATACATAATACCAAACTGAGTAGAGCATAAAAGAAAGCAAAGTGCCCTCTGCATATAATAATCTAAACACTGAATGTACAGAACAAAGAAATAAGATTAAAAGTTGCAAGGGAAAACAACCAAGTAACATGTAAAAGGCAGACTTACTGGAGTAACACAAACTTTTTACTAGAGACTCTAAAAACCAAAAGTTTCTGGACTAATGTTCTAAAGACTCTAAGAGACCATAGTTTCCAGCCATAGATACCTTTCTATACCCAGTCAAAGTTACAATCACAATAGATGGAGAAAACAACACATTTCATGATCAAACAAAATTTAAGCCGTATCTATTCATAAATTCAGCCCTACAGCAGGTACTAGAAGACAACTCTAACTTGAAGATGTTAACCACACACAAGGAAACAAAAGGAATAAGTAATCCCTGACCAGCAAATTAAAAGACAAGAAATACACACACACACACACACACACACACACACACACACACACACACACACCAAAACAAAATGACAGGAATCACCAACACTCCTCATAGATACCTCTCAACCTCAGTGCTCTCAACTCCACAATAAAAAGACAAATATTTACAGAATGATTCAAAATCAATATCTATCCTCTGCTCTATTTAATGAAAAAAATTAACATTGAGGATAGAAAACATCACCTCAGAGTAAAAAGATGGAAAAGATATTTCAAGCAAATGGACATTAGAGACAAGCTCATATGGCCATTTTAGTACCTGACAAAATACACTTAAAACCAATACTAATCTGAGGAGATAGGACAAGAAACTACCTACTGATTAGAGAAAAATTCATCAAAAGGATATTGCAATACTAACATTTATGAACCAAATATAATGGCACACAAGTTTATAAAAGAAACTGCTACAACTTAAATCACAAATTGTCTCTCTGACACTGACAGTGGGAGATGTAAATAACCCACTATCACCAATGGACAGGTTATTCAGGATAAAATTTTAATAGAGAACTATACAACTCTTGGGCATATAATCAATGGACACTCTATCCTACCACAGAAACACTTGTTCAACCATGTTTATTGCTGCTCTATTAATAACATCCAGGAATTATAAATTATCTATATGTCCCTCATTAGAAAATGAATAAAGAAAATGCAGTATGCTTATATAATGGAATATTGCTAACTGTTGAAAACAATGAAATTCACAGATATCTGGATGGAAATATATATCATATACATACATACATACATATATATACATACACACACATATATATGTATAGACACAGTAAGATATATGGCTTATATGTAGATATTAGTTGTTATATCAGTTATAAGTAAACTACAGTCCATTGAACCACAGATGTTAGGTATAGAGTAACAGACTAGGGGTGGGGATAATTCTCCCCCACCAAACTGAAATTGAATACATTGATAATTCTCTCCGGAAAACTTAAATAAAACAGTTATGGATGAATGAAGGCTCAGATGGAAGGCTGAAATAGGAAAGAAATGGGCAGCTATGGAAGAGGGAGAGAGAGAGAGAGAGGGAGAGAGAGGGAGAGAGGGAGAGAGGGAGAGAGAGGGAGATGGGGAAGGTTAAGAACCATTTGAGAGGTAGTTGGGGAACCTATTACAGTAGAAACATATATATATATATATGCATCTAATGATCTAAATACACCTTAGATGATCTAAATGAAATCACCAAACAAAGGTAAGACAGAGCACCAACTGGACACTTCCTTCTTCCAAATTAATCTTCCAGTACCAACACTATGTTACATCCAATTTTGTTGGACAAATGGGTACCCTGGGAATGCCCATACAACCCAGGATGTTTTCAGGACTATAAGTTTTTCTCCACAAAATGACTGCGAGGCCATATTGCTTCAGACAACGCCTACAAAACTCACTGAATGTGGAGAAGTTGAGCTGATACCTACATAGAGGCTTCACCTCCAGGTGCTAGGATCTTTGGTACAGGATCACACTCTGCAAGCTACCCGAGGTGAAATATAACTACCAACCCAAGTAGAAACCCTTCTATGTACAATGGTGTACTGCCTGAAAGACATGCTAATAAAATATGTCACAAAGTGTATGGGGATACCAAGCAATATCCGATTTGACTGAAGGCTTTTTCTATGAGATGGACCCAATATGTGACACTGTGTGGGGGACCAAAAACCTGAGACTACATAACTCTTGGGTAAAACCAAACACTTCTGCTATTAAATAAAACATACATAAATAAATCTAACATTTTAATGCCTCCTAGTATCATTCTACTATACTCATCGATATGTGTCTTGTCTTAGTCATCACCATAGAAGCTTGCTCCCACAGTCAATGGGAGTAGATGAAGAGACCCACAGCCAGGCATAACACAGTGAAAGACTGGAAAACTCAGCACTTTAGTGAATGTCTCTGTTGGATGTCTCCCCTCAGTGATTAGGGAACACCATGGAAGAGTCGGTAGAAAGTGTGTAAGAGTTAGAGGGAATGGAGGACACAAAGCAAACTGTTGTATAATCTTAAAATTGGTCTTATAATAAAAACCTGGAGGCAAATATTGTGGTAAAAGCTGAAAGATCAGAGGAAACAAGCCACAGCCACTTCTCACCTTCCCAACTCCTCAGCCAATCCTGTCTCCAGAGACTCCAGCCACATACATGTAGTTCTGGCCTGTGCCAGGTGGCTATAAATCCACAGGCAAGCCACTTTTTCATGAGTTTGAAAATTCATGCCACAAAAGTTGGACGCCAGATGTTGTAGATACTCTAAATCAACACGATCAAAGCTCACATTAACAGAAGTTATAGTTATAGCTCACATTAATAGAAGTCTCTATGTAGGTATCAGCTCAACTTCTCCACATTAACAGAAGTAACATGCACAAGGTTTGCATAGGTCTGTCAGATGGGGTCCTACAGCTGAAAGGAGAAGTGGATGCAAGGCCCCAATCCTAACCCAGAAGTACCTCCAAATGATAACCACTTGCAAATGAAAATTCTGATTCTTCCAAAGGAGTTTCAGTGGAAAAACAAACTACTCTTAAGGGTAGGCTGCATGCCTAGCAGTAGATGGTCAAAGGAAAATTAATTCAATGCAAACTTTGGAGGTTCTTTGTTCCATAAGGTCATGTCAAGATTTTTACCTTAGTGTTTAAATTTTATCTTAATATTTATTTATTCATTTATTCTTCTTTCTTTTTACTCTAAAGTTCCTTTTTGTATATGTTATGGATTTTAATTTAGTTTTTTGTTTTTAATGGATTTCATTGCTTTGTCAACCAGTGGGTCTCTGGAAAATATCTATTTCTTGTGAATTTTCTTTGGATCTTTTTTTCTGTTTGTTTATTTTATTCTTATTCCTTAATCACCTGCTTGTAGTCTAATGATAGACAAAATGAATGAATCCAGATGGGTAGGGAGGAAGTGAGAGGAGGAGAGGGAGAGGAAACGATTAACAGGATATATTATGTAAGCAAAAATATCTATTTTAAATGAGACAAAAAAAAGCAGGATGACAAAAAAGAAAGAGGAATATATAAATATAAAGGAATATTTTTCACAGCATAACTCTTTCTTTCTCGGCAAGGTTTATCAATTTTTTAGAAAGTAAATAAAGCATATATGGTTGAACCTGTAAGAGAAAGTGGGGTTACACTTAACTAAAAGGAAAGTTTGTCTGGCATGTGAGTGCTGAGACCAGGAAGACAAAGATTCAGCAGACTGAACGTGTGCCTGAGCATCTTATAAATTGAAACTTGTTTGGAAAATAAAAACTAACGTGTTTGGCTGGTTGTTTCTGAAATGTTCAGGATTCTGTGGTCAGAAGACAGTTTCTCTTGTAAGAGAGATTAGTGATTTAAAGAATATATGTAAATAAGGTCTTAAAATGTTGTGCAACACAGTAAGGACAACAGAGAAATCTAAGGGTCAGGAGTAGAATTTAGGGGTGAGGTAACCTGGCAGCCATTTCCAGGCCTGGACCCTTCTATCTTGTTGAAAATTTTATCTCTCAGTTTGGAAATCACGATGTAGAAAATGTGACCTTGGGCCAGGGGGTAGTGGGTTCTTCCAGTATGAAATGTAAAAAGGTGTACATCCTGACAAGGGCATAGAATAGCCTGTTTTCTTATACTTATAGCATAGAGTTCTAGAATAACTCAATCTAGTGTATTGTTTGATTTTTAAAAGGTTTCCACAAATGTTTGAAATAATTTCTGAATATTCATAAAGATTATTAAAATACACTACTTCTTGTTTTGTTTTATTTTGTTTTTTTGTAACTGGGTTTCTCTGTGTAAAAGCCCAGGCTGTTTTGGAACTTGCTATGTAGACCAGGGTGGCCTCAAACTCATAGAGAACCACTTGTCTCTTCTTCTTGAGTGCTGGGATTACAGACATATGCCAACACTGCCTGGCTACATTACATATTTTTAATAACAATTCCACCATTTAACCCTGAATTTCCTAAGTCCGCATGACTAGAGTTAGACGTGCATGGAATTACATAACAATTTACATTTTGATACAATCTTATAAAAGAAAAGATCACACCTATGCTTTTGTCTATCATTCCTAAGATTACATAGATG